CTATCTCTTGAAAGAAAACTTCAAACTATCTTGATTCTGATATTTTTTACATTCTTTAAAACCTTGAGTCTGGGCTATTATATTAGAATATTTATTGCTATTTCAGGTGAATTAATAGATTGTTCCAGTATATCATGAATACACAGACAAACCAATAGCCATAAATCAAAGGTTCTTTATTTATATGATGTAGATCTAGAGTTCTTGAGGTTCATCAATGATTTCCAACATTTCTCAAAATAGTCTTGCTGTAGGCTCATATCTTTAATCACTTTAATCTACAGTATTCTTCTAAAGTGGGCACTTATGTCAAACCTCCATTTATTGCTGATTATCTTTTCTCTTCCACTTAACATACTAAATATACCTTTTGCTAATCCCTCCAATAATGTCAGATACTCTTCACAGAAACATACTTGAAAATTCTAAGAGCACACTGATTTCAAAGACCTCCTCAACCCTCAACAACAGCCTTAGTCTTACTCTATCATGAAGACAGTTTCTGGAAAAGCACATATGACCATGATGTGGTCTGCCTTTGAACCTTTTGGGGTGTTTCAAAAATTTGCTGCATATTTTCCACCAGTTTGAATGTTTGCCCTTTCTGAAGGACTCTCCCATAGAAGTTAGTTCAGTCTTTGGAATTTGGACTTTTATTTATATTGTTTTTGCATTTCTGTACTGTTATTATTTGTGCAACCTGACTTGATTCCCTCCTTTTCATTCTGGCTGGATATTTGACCACTCGTCTTGGTCACAGAAGTTTGTTAAAATTGATAGGTCTGCTTTAAAGGATAGCGTACACATTTTCCACAAGCTTGAGAAAAGGCCTTGGAGAATTCCCTCCATAAGGTTTTTCTGTTTCCGAAATTGGCCGGCCTACTGATGCGTGTTTGAATCACACCCTTGTTTTTAAACAGAGAGTGTGTAATGTTGAGGCAACTAGCAGTCGATTTAGGAAGCAGACAAATTAAGTGGCAATCTCTCTTTATTATTTTATTAACTTTGTGCAACAGGCAATGCAAATCAGGTCTACAGGATGGAGCTGTCACATTAAGGCCAACATGGGCTGTTCAAACATTCTCATCACTGACTACTTTATTGTGGATTTGGGGCTTACCTTGTGGAGTTGCGGCCTAGTGTTTAGGGCATAGATCCTGGCATCCTGAGGTTCTGGGTTCGAGCCCCACTCCAACAGACTGCCACTTGGGGTCTCTGAGCAAGACCCCACACTGCTCCTGATTATGGCAGCCCACTGTTACCCAAGGGGATGGGTTAAATGCAGAGGTAAGTTTCTCCAATGTGAAAACAATAAAGTTCAATTACAAAAAAAAAATTCTTCTTTCAAATGAAAGAGTTACAGTCACCAACTCTGGGATTTAATGCCATCTGCTCAGAAAGAGGACGTTCTATGATCGCAATGATAACTAGAACTTCTTGATCAACTATATATTCTGTTCAGAAGTAAATACATGGTGGCCTAATTTCAAGCCCTGTATTCTGCAAGAAGGTCCTGGGTCTTTCCAGAGTTTTCATGTTCTCCCTTTGCATGTGTGTTCTATCCAGGTATTCTGGCTTCCTACCACAGTCCAGAAACATGACTACGGTATTAGGTTAACTGGCATCTCTAAATTGCCCTTGGGTGTGAGTGTATGTGGTGCATTGTTTTATGTATCTGGGATAGACTGGTACCTGTCATGGGTATACTCTGCCTTTCGTCCACAGACTGCTGGAGATAGGCACCAGCTCCACCGTGACTCTGACAGATAACCAGGAAGAAATGGATGGATGTACATTTGTCTTGTTTTTCTAAGATCAACAATTGTTATAAATTGGTGCTATATAAATTAACTTAAGCAGCTTGTAGGGTTAACAAAATAAAAATAACCAGGGAGCTTAAGTGTGAATGTATGCAGCTTTGGGGAAAAAAAAGCCATGGGCTGTGAAGAAAAGCTAACTATGCTGCCATTCCAGCACCTCTCCTTGACCCCTCCAAACATGCTTTTCACTATAGCCTGTAGTCAAAATGGCGAAACACATGAATAAACTATGCTTCTTGAACTGTTTGGGTTTTCTAACGGTTGATGAAAAGTACTCAGAAACAGATAAGTAAATCAACAATTCTTAGCTCTATATCGACTTCCTTAGGGTTTCATATTGTTTAATTAGCACTGTCCACAAAGTTAGAGATGACTATTAGCGGTTAATGTTAAGACTTATTTTCTGACTTCATTCAAATTGTTTTTTCTTTAACCTGAGGGCAGCAGCTTGGGTCTTATTTCAGACTTTGGTGAAGTAGTGTCCAGTGAAATTGTATTAAGGTACTTTTTTTTTAACTAGCGACATTGGAAACAATAGGAAAGGCTGTCTACTCAGTATAGTCCTTCTACTCAGGAATGCTTAAAAGTCCTACATTAACCCCAGTTATAAACCAAGCGCTTTGTGACCCAAACAACACACAAGAACAACAAAGAGTTGTGCTATTTTGAAGTCCTTGTTTTGTTTATTTTTTTCTTTACATTGCTGTCCACATGATCTTTTCATCATAACAAGCAAGTGTCCTAGAAACCCCACAGCCACCAGGACTAAAATCATCACACAGTTTCACTTTCACAAAAGTAGGGGTAAGAGCTTACAGAGGAGGAGGTGTGGGGTGACTACGGGCCTTAGGGGGAAAGGTGGTGTTCAACAGCATCAACAACCTCAGAACAGAAGGAAGAACCTGTCAGTCTGCAGCATGTTGGGTACAAACATGTCACTCATATATCATTAGCATAACATGGCATAGAAAGAAAGCATCCAAGCTGACAGAGCATCAGAGGAGTAAAACTGTGTGTGTCGATGGAGGAGGCATGAGACACAGAGGGACGCCTGTAGAGACGGTTGAATTTTTTTGAGAACAAAGTAAATTTTTCTATGTATTCCTAACATTGTGTGCTGTTTTAGAAGTTCAGCACAGTTTGGAGTCTACACAATAAAATAATTCAAAAAACATGTCAGCACAGTTTTCAATAATAGCACCAGGTTGCCATGAGAGACGGCTGAAGAGTGTAAGATGTTTGTGGTTTGTAGCTAACGCTACAGCCAGAACCAACCAAAGGAGTGGTGAGAGAAGGTCCAGAATTAGTGGATATTATTATCAATCTATTCTGTGTTTAATTCAGGGGCAAAACAGCTTGTGGTTTATCCAGTAATGTGATGTGAGGGGTGTTTAAATCATTTTTCAAAAAATCTCTCAAATCAGATTCACGCCTATAGCAAAAGTCATACGACTTAAACTTAGCAGCTTCAGCATAAATGCTGTCATAAAGTCAAAATCCCAATTAACAGCTCTTGGTGTTAACATGATCTTGTTAGCTAGCACGCCATGTTTTAAATATTAATATTAGCAGCAGTTAAATATAACCTATGGAAGTAAAGTCAGCCCTATACTGCCCGCATGGTAACAATATACCTATGTTACCATGCAAGCACTGTAGCTATCACCTTGGAGATTACATCACCCTGACTTCCCACTTGTGAGGTAAATCGAACGGGCCATTACGATTAGCTACCGCTAATATAAAGTATTTAATTGGCAATAGCCAAATATTATTCAGAAATTTAGCATTACAATGCATGTATGCACATAAAAAAACCTGCTAACATGGTACCTGTAGTGTTCATCATTATAATTTAGCAAATTTAATTGCCATTTAATTGTCGCCATCCATGTCCATGTTTCTGATATATCAGGCTTTTTTATTGTTCAGTTTCAGTACAACTTTACAAATTTGCCCTAGATAACTTTAATTAAATATCTACATAATGGCCTTCTATTAATTGTCTCATGTCTTCCCAAAGAAACATATGATTTTGACACTCATTCGTCCTTTGATGAATTTTCTTTTTTAACAGGCGCCTCCATTAGGTGTCTCATGCCTCACCGAAAGCAACACAAGATGTCAGTCAAACTACATTAGCTCATGTCTATGTTCAAGCATAAAGTAATAGTGCTCAGCCCTTAGGCACCTAGTTACAGATAACACTAAAAAGCAGTTGACAACAAGGTAAGAACTCTAAAACATTAGAATATTTAAGATATTGATCTTTTTTGCCTTTATAGAGGGCTCAATCGAGTTGGATAGGCCCTATGAAAGCACAAAAATCTGGCACCTTTGAATCGGTTAATCCTGGCTATTTTACATCTTTTTTTATCTTACATCCTTCACTTACCTCAACAAAAAATAAACAATAAAATCAAAATATCAGTACAACTTCTGTTGGTTCAGGCACATAAAGAGTGGAAATGAAGGAGGGATTTTCATGAGTAGAAAACAGTCTTTATGCAAAAGCAGCAGTTGGTTGATGGAGGACGGCTGTGAGGAGGACAAGAAATGTTCACCTTAGTAACGCAGAAATGCAAAAAAAATGGATAATCAGTCACTTCCCAGCCATGACGGATATCACAAAAGGAATAATTAGGGACATTAAGACATGGGCAAGGTTTGACAGTGAAACTTTCTTTATCAACCGTAACTCCAAACCACCGTTTCTGCAAAGCATGTATGAAAATTGAGAGGTGAAGCACTCTGCTTTTTCCAGCTTGACTTCATCTGTGGCAAAGCCACAGGTGGAAAACTACTAGATATACTGCGGTGAGAAACAAATAAACAAACATGGATAAGAAAATCTCTTTAATTATTTCAACTCTTAAGGCAGCCTTCTATATAAAAACAAGACAAAGTAAATATTTTTTGACCTGGCTGCAACTCTGTTAAGACCGTTCAATTTGGTATCCATTCTCCATTCTAGCCACAACAAAAACAAAAGAAAGAGACCAACTGAAATACAGCAACTTGCCTAAACTTTACTTTTTCTGTTGTCTGACTCACCTGAAACCTTAACAAAAACAGCAAAGCAAGTAATAAAAGAACATGGAATAAAAAAAAAAGTTCAATATATATAAAAAATGAAATAATGCTGTCAAAAGTGCTCAAAAGCAGTGTGTTGTTTTTTTTTTCTTGATTTTTGTTTGCTTATTCATTTCTAACTGGGTTCGATCGAGGTTTGGGAAACTGGAAAGTTGGTGGGTAAGAAATCTGCAAAGGAGGAAGTGTCGGGGTCAATGCTGAACAACTGAGTGGCTGAGGTGAAGGAAGGGGTTCAGCTTCATGTGTTATGGCATCTCCTCTCCACCTGATCTCACCAGCTGAACCCCTCCTATGACAAATTTCCTCCTCGGCAGGGCACAGGGTGGGGGTGTGGCGGTGGAGCTTTAACCCAGACTGGTGATGTTGGCTCTACCACCTGGGGGCGCAACAATGCGCTGGGTGTTCCTACGGGGAATGTTGTCATCAATCTGAGCGCCTGTGGGGACAAGTGAAAGGTTTATTTGGACGCATTCTTCAAGTTTAATCTGCAGTTTTTAATTAGACCATTTGAAGGATTCCTCAGCATTTATCATGTAAAATCCAAATATCTTCAGAGTTCCTCATGTTGAGCATTTTTTTAGTCAGTTAATTTTGGTGCATATACAAAAATCCACCATTACTTTACAGCGGCAAGACTTTAAAAAAGGAACTGGGAATTACAATGCAGAAAAGGATGAAAGAAAAAAAAAAGAGATGTATGGAAATTTGTGCTTTAACATAGTTAAGTGGGTTGGAAATAAACACAGAAATATGCATCTTAACCCTTTAAAGCCCGATCCAAGAATAAAACAAAACAGAAAATTACTTTTTTTTGGTTTGAAGTCCTTATTTGGCCTTCAAACCAAAAATACATTTTTGATATTAATAATTTATTACTATGCGATAAGTCAAGATTATTTTTTGTGTAGTCTTCTGCCCTCTGTTATCAGGTATATCTGATTGTGTGCAATAGGATTTTGAGCAAAGTTTTTACCATTAAATTATGCGTCAGATGCAAAACATTTCAGAAACCGTATGTATCAAATATGACACATTTGGCATTACAGGGTTAAGAGAACATTGGAGCTAAAGGTCAGTTTTCTTGACTAACCAGAAAGACTGAAGCCAGACTGGTGAAGATTGCGGACAGGCTGGTTGGGTTGTTTGGCAGGTGAGGTCTTGGCAGATGAAACGGGTGTCATGGTTTTTGGGGTTACGGAAACCTCACAGACTGGACCGTCATAAAGTCCCCTGGGTACACCTCTCAGCTCAGCCAGCTGTGGTAAGAGAAATAACATACAACATTCAGATCAGAGCAAACCAAAACTAAGACTTTTCCCCACAATGTAAACACACTGGATAGAGCTTTCACAATAATGTAAACATTTTAAATTGAACTAAATGATTTTCATTATCAGAATAGTGGCTTATCAGCTTTATAAGCTCTTAACAATTACCAGTATGATAAAAACAAACAATCATCAGTAAGAATATTAAGGACTTTAGCACTTTACCCTGCTGCGAGCCTTTATCCTCTTGTAGACGTAGTCAGGGAAGGGTTTGCGGGCAACGAAACGCCCAGAGCCCTCAGTGGCATGGAGAACCCCCTCCTCCAAGACAATCTTACCCTGACTGATGACCACGAGAGGCCCGCCACGCACCTCTAAACCTTCAAAGATGTTATACTCTACAGTCTGAAAGAAAAATTATTATTTTGAAAAAAGTTATTTTGAATGAACTTCAATATTTTTTATTTACTTAGCTAAAAGGACAAGGTAGAGTTGACACTTTCTGACCTTCCTCTCTGCCATTTCCAACAAATAAACCCCAAAAGGAGCTTAAAAAAGAGAAATACATTGATTGATCACCTTAATATAGATGTTCCCTTTTATCATCCATCATGAAATCCATCATGGACATCAATGATGGACAACACCTCTCACCCCCTGCACCAGACTGTAGAGGAGCTGAGCAGCTCTTTTAGTTAAAGGCTTAATTGAACTTTGTTGATCTCACATTGGAGAAATCTACCTCTGCATTTAACCCATCCCCTTGGGGAGGAGTGGGCTGCCATCGTGGGGCAACCAGGGAGCAGTGTGGGGTTGCTCAGAGAGCCAGAGTGGCAGTCTGTGGGAGTGGGGCTTAAACTCAGAACCTTTAGAATTCCAAGCTCTATGCCCTAACCACTAGGCTTGTACACCCCGTTTGTAAAAAGCACTATCATAGGTCACTGCATTGCGACACTATAACTGCAATAACTAATATGCAATTGCTATCTAATACCCTGTGCAATAACCTGTTCAATAAGAGACTTCAGCTGTTATAATTATCTTACCACCTCACTGTTCTTTACTTGGTACCACTTTAATGTATAACGCCAAATCCAAATGTGAATAAGTCACCTTAAATGTACATAATGCACCTTAAATCTCTGCCTTATTTCTTTCTTTTCTTTTTCGATCCACTGTATATATATGGACGCATTGTGAAAATATCCTATGTACCTTTTCCTCCTTTTGGCACCTTCTTTTGACTATTGAGCCAATGTGACCAGTGAATTTTCTCCACTGTGAAATCAATAAAGTCTATCTTATTTTATCTTATTAGGACTATATAAGGCCATATCATAACTCATTATCCCTTTATTAGTTTACAGATTTAAACTCTATTCTGAGAACAAAATGGAATAACCTTGCAATTACAGCTTGAACAGAACTTTTAAGCAAGACCAAGGAGTATATCCGAGTTGTATTCTTTTTACAGCAGTAAACAGGAGTCTAATGGATCAACTAGTAAATCAGCTACCTAAATTAAAAACTATTTAGGTTAACATCTACAAAAGTTAGCAACTGCCTAAACTAGCAGTATTTTATGGCAGTTGGCAGATTAAATGTAGTGCATTAGCACCACCAACTGAAATGGAGAACAAGGAAACAGGAGGATAAATTCATACCCAGAAAATAAAAAATATAAAAAATAAATAATAATTTATCAAACTATTTAAATAAACTCAAATTGAATGAATAATAAATCTAATTCCTCCTCATAATTTTTAATTTGTCTTTATGTTATCGTCACTCTGCCAGTTTCTAATGGTCCTACTTGTTTTCCCATCATACTTTCCCAGTTTAAATCTCTCACTTCAATGTACTTTTCTGCAGTTTTCACTGTTATTTAGATTTTGGGGGGGGGGGGGGGGGGTTGTCTAAGCAGCACAATTGATAACTTTCACCATGAAAAGGAGAAAATCATTCTTTTTTTAGAATCGAGTCTTGCAATTTTGCGGCACTCTTGCAAAGGTTAACTTCCAACGCTACCAGCTAAGAGGCACTTAGGCTAATATCTTTTGGCAGTACTTAACAGCTACTCCAACTGACAGTTATCAAAAGTAATGGCTACTTATTGTAACAGCTACAAAGGCTAGGAACTATCTAAACTAACATCTACTGCTTTTAAGTAGCTGTCATCTGTACTCCTAAATATTTCTTTCTAAATTGTTCACAGTAAAGATCACTCCATCAGCTGATAGAAAAGAGAATTATTCTACTCAACTCTACTTTAACAGTGCTCAAAACTCTTCCTTTAACTGTTTTATGGAGTTACACAGTGTTCCCTGTGGTTCAATGCTAATAAAAAGAGCTGATTGTATGGATAAGAGGGATAAGCTGATGGGAAACACAGTCGTTTATTCTTATCCCAACAGAGGAGAAGGCCTGCTCATTAAAGGGCGTTTTGAGTTTGCGTGTGTCCATTATGAAAGCTTTATAAATTGCACTTTCCTAAAAGCTACTGTAGCTAAGGGTGAGGTCATGGCAATCTGGCTAACTTTATCCCAATATGAGATCAGCAGCAGGATTAGCCATCCCATTACTCAAATAGTTGTATACATTACTTGTCCCATGGAACAAGAAGAAATTGAAGGACATAACAGGATTAAATGAGCATCCACAGCAATGGGCTCTCTGTTTTACTAATACATACACAGACATTCAGCCTGCAAACAATCAGACGATGATGTGTTTCAGTTCTCTGGCAGATTTTATGAATGACATCACTCCCTTGACACCATGAGAGGCCCACACCCTGTTTAGCAGTTAGACAGCCAAAAGTCTTCCCAACCACCGAGAAAGGGGACTAACATCCCCCTTCCTCTGGCTGACACTGATTAGAAAAAATGAATGGGAACGTACAGAGTTGTGGCTCTTGGCAGAGATGATCTTCGTTACGTCAGGGTCCCAGAGCACAAGGTCTGCATCCGAACCCACAGCAATGCGGCCCTTGCGGGGGTACAGATTGAAAATCTTGGCTGCATTGGTACTGGTCACGCCCACAAACTGGTTTTCGTCCATCTTACCAGTCACCTGGAAGGAATGAGAGCTGAGCATGAGAACCGAGCAGGGGTCCCTTGATGCTTTAGTCTATTTATGTTCCATGTTTGCTACATCATTCCTGACCAATTGTTTCACTGCTCTAATTTTTTCTGCCTCTTTCATGACACATACAACACACTTGTCCCAGATGATAGACATTCTCTCCTCTGTGCCATTGACGCCCTCAGGAATCAAGGTGAAGTCATCTTTCCCCACAGCACGCTGGGCAGTGTTAAAAGGACAGTGGGCACTTCCGGTCACTTGCAGGTCTCCACTTTAACGATTGATAAGGAAAAAGAAACATTTAATGAGAAAATAGTGAAATGAGTCTTAACGTGGAAGATCTGATCCAGTTTTTTTTACCAGGACAGCAGGGAGTTGAGATAGTCTGGAGTGGCCGGGTCAGGGCTCAGGGGAGGAGATGTGACGTAGGCTGCAGCCTTGGCCCAATTCTTACTCCAGTAGTGTGAACCATCAGTTCCCAGGCTAGCAGTGATTGGCTCTCCGTAGACAACAGTACCTGTAAAATGTTTGAAAAAAAAGCTACTGATTAGACATGCTACAAGTATGAAAACCCAGGGTTTTAAACAAGAGATGGTCTTTACTAAAACCTGGAAGCAACAACTAAAGTCAATTCAAAAATACTTAATTGATCCCAAAGTATATTAAATGTTAAAACTCATTAATAAACTGAAAAACATATTTTTTTAAGTAAAAATTATTTACCAACTTTATAATTTATTGATATGTTCTATATTTGCTTAATCTAATGTAAAATAGGTGATCATAGTATTAAGTATATAATATAATGATATGAACAGTATATATGCCCTTTTATATATTTTTGTAAAGACCCAAACATGCCTCTATTTAATAAGAATTCAATTGCTAAATAAATATTTAAGGCATGATTTTGAAAGTATATGGATACATACATTCTGTCCTTTATCAAGCTATATAATACTTAATGATGAAATGATCCCATAATATTTGTGTTCAAAATATTTGAAATAATAATATTACATTTTGTAAGTAATTTTCTGTTTATTAATTTTATAGCTCTGTGTTCTAAAAAGGAACAAAGAAATACAAGAAAATCTTAAGTTGTTTAAATAATCTTTTCTAAAAAATACAATAAAAAAAATACTCTAAATATACGTTTATGTAATGCATGCATTAAACATCTTAAATATTTAAGCCATACATTGTAAAAATAGAAATTCTGTAAATTTCAGGGTTTTTTGGGTTTTTTTTTTCTATGACCAGTGCAAATTTAGAATAATATTGACTTGGTTAAACTGGCATTACGGCCTTGGCCAAACTGCTACACCCTAAAGGTTTTCATCAGCTTTCACACAGCATCCATCTTCTTTTTAACACATTTGGTTAGCAATAAATCACATCAAAGGATGAATAAAAGCCAGGCAAGGAAAATTGGGCTTGAGCTCCTCACCCTTCTTCCTCGCCTGTGCGATGACATCAGCGGCGCTCTTGCTCATCACCTTGGTAACGTAGAGTGGACAGTTGGTCTGATTGGCCACAGTAACCGCACGGTTTACAGCTTCTGCCTCCACCTGGAAAATATTAGAAGGGTTTTGCTAAACACATTTATTAAGCGATGCGGTCCTCAGACCTTTCCTGACCGATACAGAATTCATTTTTCCTTTTTCTTCCAACTTGGAGTTTTAGTTCTTCGATAGAAATAGCAGTTTTAATCTCATAGAAACCAAATGATTTATAAAATTATTCCTATTTATGTATAAAAGCTGAATATTAATTGTATTAAATTCAAGAAAAAATGTAAAAAAGTTTTTTTTAAGTTGAAAATGGTGTGATGAATGGGATGATAAACAATATAGACCCCACAGCTCATTGTAGACCTAACATCTAGTGTTTCAAAACCACATATATCATCATTTTGGAGGGGATTTCATGTGACGGAGCACCATCAAGTACGTCTCTGTTGTTGACTGGAATGATAGGGACATGTATGTTTTGTTTTTTTCCCCAAATCTTGCATATCTTTGGGGAAAGATATACTTTTTAAGGCAACTGATTATCCCTGACTTTATTTAGGTGTATCAGACTTAGTACAGATGAATACAAATGAAATAAAATAAAACATTTCTAGTCTAATTTCTGGTCTGATCACAATACCACATTTAATAATCCAGATTAACACAGCCAGAACATTAACATTCTACTTTTTTTCCCCAGGCAGAGTGGAGTTATTAAGAAAGAAAAGGGAAAATCTGAAAGAAGAAGAAACTAAATGTTTTAGCAACAACACAGTGTGTTATCTTTATAACAGATGTCCTGATGAAAAATCCCATCCTTTGTTTTGGCATCTTGTTTTCACATGCAGAGAGAGGAATCCAACGACTGTAAAACTGTCAAACACTTTCTACCAAGCTGTGAAAAACTGGAGGGGGTCAAACAGTCATGTAACAGAGCAAGAGGCTTAAGCGCTGGAGGCTTTCCTCCAACTGCTATATAGAACTGGACCCACCTCCTCTGGATGGCTCAACACATGTCCTTCAGGCCCAGTGATCCCCTGCTCCAAAATCCGCCTCTGCTCCTGAAAACACATGAGCACAAACAAACACACTGGAAATGTGAATTGTTGAGTCATGTACAGGTGTTCCTGATCAACAACTTTGGCAATAAAAAACAGTCACTGCTTTGACCCCTATAACCGCTTGTCCTCATCTGTTTTTAATTATGAGCATCCCATGCATGGGGTGGGGGGGTGCATTACAGCCTCCGTTCTCCATGAGTGACCAACAAGCACAAACCTTAGACAGGCAGTTTATTCCGCTTAATATTAACGTAAAAGTCCATTGTTGTACCTCAGCAACGATGTCCCCGTTCTCGGCGTGAACCTGGGCGATGGCTCCCAGATCTCGGATCACGCTAAACACCTCGTACACCTGGATCAAAGAAAATGATATGGGCACATATTCCAGTTGTGAATACACTTCTCCACCTTGTCGAGCAAAAAGTCTCAGGATTTAGTCTTTGTACATCCACAAACATTAATAACTTATGTGTGTTTTTAACAAAACGTGCTGGATTTTGAAGATGGAGGACGGCGCTTGCATGTTTGCAGCTCAAGCTGCAGAAATGCCTTCCATATCAGCTAGCTTTAGCCTTCAGTAGAATAAAAACAAAACCATTCTCTTTGAAAATCAAGGTTTTAAACGGTGAAATGTCTTTGTTTACAGCAGGTTAGTGAGTTCCAGTGTGACACAGCCCAGTCTTATCACTGAAACGTGTCCCTGAACATTCATTCAACTTAAACAGAAAACAAGCGGCTACATTTGAGCTGAAAACTACAACAGACTGAAATGTTTTTCCCAAACTTTTATGCAAGTCTTCCACAATCTTCCTGCTAATGCAATATAATGGGTTCACTGAAGGAATTATCACCTTTCTGCTGCCAAACATGCAACAATTCGTCTTCATCAGAATTTAATAGAAACAAAAAAAATGGGTAGCCAGCATTCCTCCCACAGGTGCAAAGACCAACATGGATCTGCTTCAAAGCTGCTTTCAAACAGGATTAATTCATTTCAACCATGACTCAGAATGAGATGTGCAACAAGATATGGCCTTTAGTAACCTCTTCCAAGAGAAGCGGACTCTAGGTTTGAGACAAACCGACACGCACTTTAGTCAGACATGCAGGCCGAGGCATGATTGTTTTTATAAAACATCATCATAGCGTTTCATTTTCCTTATTCATTCTGAGAATGTTGGCAACAAATTTACTAGCAAAAAATATATGAACGCTGATGTTGCTGCAAAGGTTAAACTTAATTCAAGGAGAAATTTCTGTTTAAATCTGGTCTACGAAACAAGCTGAACTGTCACAACATAATTGTATACAGAGTTCATACACAAACATTAGATGTGTCATAATATAGCTTAAAAAGAAAAAAAGATCAGGGGAGATGTAAATGTCATTTGGGGAAATAAAGGAAGTGTACCTGAGCATCGGTAAGCTGGAAAATATCTTTGTATGCCAGGTAGACAAGGAAAGAGTTGACACCTGAGGACATTAAAGAAAGTGAGCAGAAGCGAACGTTAAAGTAGGAAACAAAATTAAGATCTCAGACTCACATTCTTTAACATTAGTAACAGGCTTTGTTTGTGCCAATGAAAGCAAACAGCAAATCAGCCTGAATTAGGTGTTTGTTTGATTACAATGATTGTGCACATTTAACCCCTTTTTTCTTGCTCTTTTACATGTTTTGGGACTTAAACAAAATCTGATTTCTCAAATCAATATATGTCAGATCATATATTTTGCATTATACCCCCTTAGATAAGCTATCTGAGTCAAATATATGTATACGGATTTAGAGACTTAGAGCTGAAAAATCTCAGAAAAACTCCTAAGATATGTAATCGACTCTGCAGGCAGAGGTTTCTATGAGCAAATCCAAGTCTCTGGAGTGACACTGCTCCACTGACTAGAAGGGCTTAAATCTCCATAATACAGCAGAGGAAAAGCTGCTGATACGCATCAGAGGAAGTCAGCTGGGCTGATTTGAGCCCGGACATCTCTCTTTGGGAATTTTCAGGAATTTCAAGGAGAGTTGTGGAGCTGGGATATTAAAACTTAGTAGGCCACAATCAAAAAAACATTATTACTCATAGCAAAAGATATAATTATATAAATAAATAAACAAAAATATACTATGATTTTTTGACTCCTTAATAAAATACTAAGCATATAGCAATCAATTTAAAGAAACAAAGTTTGCCATTTTTTGTGGATGAAAGTGATCTGTTAATCATGTATAAAAAGGGTTGTTTCACATTTCACTGATTGGGGAAAAAAAACAAGCAAGGCATCAATCTTGCAAATTATATTGATTTCAATTTTAAAAATAAAATTTCAAAAGAAAGCACGAAAATGTTTATGTTCAGTAGTAAGAACAGGATTTGTGTCAACTTCTCAATCAGTAGATGTTTTCCTGTTTATGATAATTAGAAAATTAGCAAAAAGTCTATTTAATACATGAGAAATACGATTTATCTCACTTTTTCTGTCAGATTTTAATTTATCGTTGATTATTTTGTCCTAATAAGAAAGAAACAATCCTTGGGCACTTTATTAAAGTTTAAAGCTAACACGATGAGCCAATCCCATGGCAGCAAGTTAATTCTTTCATGAAGCTGGGGTCACAAAGCTGAATTGGTGACATTTAAACTCAGCATCAGAACAGATAAGAAAGTGACTTTTGAAGTTGCCACAGGCTGGCCTGAATTTTTCAGAACCTGTTGATCTTCAGGGATTTTATGCACATTTGTTAAAAATAATCAGACTGGTTTGGGATGATGGAAAGGCAGCAGTACATTAAATAACAATGGATGAGCTACATAAGCAGTAATACAGCACTTCTGTCAGCTGAGAACTAAAAACTTCAGTTTATAAAGGTTCATTGGATAAAAGAGTAACTGACTGCAAAAGTCTTTCCGAGTCAGACCAGTCTGATTTAATTCCAAGATTTCATAATATGGTCAGATTTTAAAATAGACTTGATCCATCATGCCAAGAAGTGGTAGTGATTTCATGGTCTGGGTTATAGTTTCTTGAATCCTCTTATGACCAACTGAGGATCGAAAAACCACAGCCTTTCTTTAGATTGTTTCTGACCACACCCATTCATTAAAGGAGCATAGTGCAAGATCCAGAGTTTTAGCAGAAGCTCGCCCCCTCTGGTGAAAAGATGTAAAACCACCAGTGTTGTAAATGAGCATGGGAGAAAATATCGCCACTGAGACTGCACAGATCTTTTATGTTGAGGCCTAATGTCTTCCTAAGTAGGCAAGTGTGGGTTACCATTTTAGCTTTTTAGCAAAAGAAGGCCAAAGAGCTCTGTCTATTTGTTAAAACCTGCCCCAATATTTACTCTCATTTTATTCGGCCAATAAATTCAGACAAAATGTATATTTTCTTACTCTTGTTTTGAGTCTGACTGCTTTGAGGTAGTTTTGTGGTCATATTTAAAAACTGTACCTTAATGGTGGCAGAATAGGAAGAAATTAGGCAGGTGAACGAGAGCGTAGGCACATCATACCCTCACATACATCAAGAAAGTACAACCTGAATAAATTTCTCATGAAGTGATTAATGGAGCCTATAGAGGCAACTGCTGTAAACTGAGGAAAGTTCATTTCACAAGTCAGGTAAAATCATATTTAACCTTTAAACTTGTGCAATACTCCTTTAACAACTTCACTATAGCCATCCACCACTTTCAGCAAATCAAAATATGTTTCCAACACTTTGCTGAATCAATCTAACAAATAATGAAACCATTTTTAAATATATAAGGGGTAAGAGGGTGTTAGAACTTTCCTATCCTGACACCCACTATCAGGTGAGTGGATGGAAATAGAAGAAGGGTTCTGATGCAGGTTCTGATTATTTATTTATTTTTTTTTTTACATGGTTCTCATAAAAGTCCTCAATAAGTGAGAAGTCAAATTAGAAATACTTGGTTTTTGAAACCAAGTGGAAATGTGTAGAAAAGGGTTACAAAAACACATGAAGGAAAACAAAATGTTCCTTAAAAAAATTGACCCATTTTGTATGCAACAGGCTGAATGAGAATATTATAAATGATTAGAATTACGGTGTGTTATTGGAAGCTGCTTTCATTGGGTTTCTGAACATTTTTGCAATAATAAGCGAGTAGATTAGATATTCGGAGCTCGTACCGTGATCCTTCACCAGCGTTTCCATCTCCTCCTGGATCCCCTTGTGCCACTCGGTGATGTCGACGTGCAGTGAGTAGTCGCAGCAGGATTTGCTGTCGGCCCATTCACGCCACTGCTCGAAGGCGGACATGAGGCTGACGCCGGGCTCAGGGACCACATGATCAACTGGATAGATGCACAAAAATTTTGAATATCTCAGAAGCAGAAGTTCAGCTTTTAAAGGCTAATTTAACAGGCTTTCATAGTCTTTATGAATATACGTAAACTAGGATATACCAAAGTGGAGTTGGCTTAGCGTTTAACTAAGTCTCCAACATCAGCAGCATGAGGTATTTTCTCATTAATTCTAACAACTTGCTCTGACTGTGAGGTTCTGTCTGGCCTTCCAAGCAGCGCCGGTTACGTTCCAGACCTCACTGACCATTCCTGGGTCTGCAGCAGTCAGCGTTTCGCCTGAGGTGACAAGAGCATGCTGGGAGAGTTTGTTTGGCTGCCAGGGAGGGCTGCTGATTCAGCACAGGGAGCCCCAGTGTGACATTTAACTCAAGTTTATTTAGCCGCTCTGTTTTTTCTTTTTAATTCAAACAGGCTTGAAAAATATTTAACATTTTTAAAGCTTTAATAACAAGGAAAATGAGTCCGAAAATTAAAGCTCTTCAAATGAATGATTTAGCATCATATTTGATGCATTACGCATTTATGGTCATGTATATTTATCAGCTTTTTCCCTATTAAAACATTTTATTTTCATGATTTTAGGGAAAGTACCAAATTTGATCTTGGGTTAATGTTTGCAAAGAAAGGAAAAGGTTTTCTGTTCTAAGTGGTCTGTTTGCATTAGTATATATTTCAGTATATTTCCATGCTGATTAAAAAGAAGGATAAAGCTATAAAAGGCAATAATCGATGCTGGAGTGTAGACATCTTCATTTGCTTTTTCAATACATCCAAAAATTTCTTTCTGTCGTAGGAATTATTGATATGCACAAAATAAATTTACAGCGCCCAAACAAGGCATGGTCTTTTTACTGATTAAAAGCCTCTCATCAATTTAGGAATTGAAGGTTTGGGTGAATGACTCACTGATCATGGTGGTGCCGCCGGCCAGCGCCGCCTTGGTGCCTTGGTAGAAGTCGTCGGCTGATGTCATGCCCCGGTCAGGCATCTGGAAACGCGTGTGCACGTCGATCCCACCTGGCATCAGCATGCGGCCGTGGGCATCGATGGTTTTCACCCCCCCGGGAACGATGAGGTTTTCTCCAATTTGCCTGGAGACAGAGAGGAGCATCGACGTTAAAGTATTGAAGTACCAATTATCAAATATCCTTTAACACATAAATATAAGTGCTTTGTAAAAAAAGATTTGGCCAAACCGTGAGTCTCTTCAAAGTTTTGGGGGCATTTATTATACCTTCCCTCTACCTCTGTTAAGGTAGAGGGAAGATAATAAACTATCAAAGGCTTGAAAAAAAAGTAAACTTACTTAATGACCCCATCCTCCATGTAGATGTCAGCGCAGAAGGACTGATCATCGTTCACAATCTTTCCTCCTTTAATCAAGAGACGGTCACTCTGGAAAGGAAAACAAAGAATATTAAATACTAGAGGACAAGTCAGTAATCTCATCTGGAAAAGAAGCCAAGGCTTCAGGAATCTGCTTGTGTTTCCATAGATACACATACATTTAACTGGAAGAAAACTCATTATGCAACCAGTAATTTCCCCCGACTTACAGGATGCTCTCCTGAGACATGAAAGAGTACTTTCCTGTAATTTACAGGATACTGATCTAATAATTTACTTTAGTTTTAATTTACATAGTGCCAATTCATAACAAATCTAACTCAGGGCTTTATTTAGAAATATATAAATCAAACCAATTTTGATGCAGTCAATTTGAGTTTATTTAACCAACATGGTAAATCTATATATGAAGGCCAATCTTGTTGCTTGAAATCTCTGACTTTGTAGCAGTCCCTGGTGCTTAGCAAGCATGTGGCAACAGTGGAAAGAAATTACTCTCTATAAACTGTAGGTAGATCAAGGTTACTTCCCAGTAAAGTTTGCTTTCAGGAATGAATCAGTTACTTTCATGAACTTACATAGCTTACATTTTACTTCCCCCAAAATATAGATCAGCCTTCTTTAACATTAGGATACTTTCACATTATTTCCAAAACTTGCATGTTGTGTTCCTAAAACTAGTAATTCTGAGGTCCAAAAAGTGAAGTCATTTCATAGTATTTACAGGTAACTTCTATGGAATTTAGAGAATATGTTTCTGGTATTTACAGCTTACATTCAGAAAAAAAGAGGTTTACTGGAACTGACAGAAATAGATTTTAGAACTTGCAGTTTGCTTCTCTATAACTCACACCAAACATTCTAGCTACTTAGAGGTTAGAGTATCTATAGTGTATGGCTCACCTACATGATTTTTTGCCTTTTACTTGCAGGCTACTTTTCAGAAACTAACAGGCATTCATGAGACTGTTGTCTTTTACAACATTTTTAGGTTTTTTTTCTGCAATATTTACAGGTTTATATTCTAGAGGATACAGATGATGTTCAGGAAAATTACAGGTCAGTTTTCTAAAATTGACATGTTAGTTTAGGCTCTGAAGGTACATTAACACAGAGCCTGTATATTAAAAAAAAAGTAACCTGCAGGCGGTAAACTCTAGACTTTTAAATTCTGTATAAATATTTACCCTTTGGTTACATATTTAGTATGATTCTACCATACAACATCTCTAATGACGGCAAGTACAGGCATTTTTAAGAGTTATAGAGCTAATATCAGAAAGCCATGGATTAAAATTGCCATGAAAGCATTGAATATCCCAATAGGACAGAGAGCATCTTCATCTTGATGCCGTCCAGCTCTGCTTTGCTTGAGCAACAAAATGAGGGGACTATAAAACAATCAACCTGTCTCTGGACACACCCGTCCATCCTCTGCAAGCGGTCAATGTGCTGCAGTGAAAGATGCGAGAGCAGATCAATGAAAAGGCCGTTTCCACGCCTTCTGCTGTGGCACTTCTCTCTTTGCAAGAAAAGAGGTAGAGGAGGAGGTGGCGGGGAGTCCACCATATCCACCAGTGTCCCCTTTTCTCCCTCTCTCTTCTGCCCCTCCAGCCTCCCCGGGGGCCCCCTGGCCCTTTCTCCAAAAAGGGAGTGGCGGGTCTGGTCACAAGGACTCTGGCGTCCCCGGCTAACAAAGGCCTCTCTGTTTGAGCCGGGTTGCAGCTCTGGCTCTAAGCACAACTGCTGCAGACCCCCACCCGGTGGCTCCGACACAAATTACAAAAAACGATCCAGTCAGGTTCTACAAAATGGAGTAGTTCTGCAAGATCCAGTAAGTTCGTCATGATAGGTTTAGCCAGTAAGTCCTTGCCGCTCAAACTGCATATCACATTTAGATGTTGCTTTTTAGGCTAAATCTGGTCAGACTGTCATACACTTGATTTAGTCCAGAAATAATTGTTAAAAAATGGGCTGTGTTTGGTCGCTCTGATCGTTCCCATTTTAGTTCAATAATACACATTAAGAAGACTTATTAACGCTCTAAAAATAATGACTTTTAGCCTTTCACTTTTCAACTTTGCAACCAAATGTAGACCTCGTTTGGATGTAAATCATGTCATCTTTTCAACCAATTTTTGCTCAGATGATGACAGTTCTGAAGATATTGGCTCTGCTTTAGAGCTGACTGCAAAAAAGCAGAAGAATACATTCTTCCTAGATACCTTTTGAATTCAGACATTTCATCTTCAGTATTAATTACTTGAAATGATCACCTTTTCATCCACAAAGTTGCTGTATTTTTGGAATCACTAGAGATGAACCAGTGATGCTTTTCCTGGCTGATACCCATTTATTTTTTTCTGGGATCCAGAATCTTACTTTTCCTGAGGAATATAACTTAAATTAAGAAGAAAAGGCAATTTTCTATAACAGCATTTTTAATACAAAAAAAATATTTGTATGAATATTCCTATTAAAATATCAAAGCATAAGTTGTTAACCTTTCTTTATTTTTATAAACTTTGAATAAGTTCATGGAAGTACATGCTGTTTAAGGACATTTTTATGGACTAAAAGCTGTTAACAATAAGGTTTTGCTACCGTTCATAAAAGTGCATGTTTGAATAGGAATGCCAGGGTTTAGCTTTGATAGAACAAAAGCAAAGGAGGAAATATTTGATCTTGAAGAAAAACACGAAGGCCAGACTGGAGTTTGCCAGAGTTAACATGGACAAAGGCCAGGACTTCTGGAATAGCATTCTTTAAACAGAGCCTCTAAAACACCAGAACAGAATACTTATACTTTTCTGTTTAACATAAACCAAATAAACCATTTCTGGAAAAACTCTGGTATGAACTGGGGGTGTAAAAATACATTGATCCACTTTGATAGAACAAGAAATATTCCAGTCAAATTCAATGTTAATAATTTGAAAAATGAAAACATTGGTCAAAACGTCATCTTAAAGATAGGCATTTATTTTAAAATTCAAAAGGCAAGAAACTACAGAGAACAGGTGATCTAATATAATGTCTTAGAAGTATTCTGTTGTTGTCCTGAATGCCTTTTCGCCTTTAAGAGCCTAGAGATAAAATTGCCACATCACAATTAAAAACCTTTTTGTGAGTTGATATAGAAGTTAATTGTTGTATTCGATGGACATAATATAAACCGGCAGACCTATGAATTAAACAGAATTTAAATCATATTATAAAATAAAATAAAATAATTTAAAAAAAAGTATCATGGTTTTTGTATTTACTGAGAAGCAAAGAGGTAGAAGAGTCATGGTTTGGTGAATTTCTGCTGCAACTAAACCAGGTCAGTTCAGCATAACAGAACCCATGATGATTTCAAGCATGTATGTAAGGTGAATATCTGTAAGGTGAAAACCAAAATAAAGCTGGACCCTGCAAAGAACGAAAAAATAAAAATGAAAGCTCTATGTGTTGGGAGTGCTTTGGTGTCGCAGTGGGTAGCGCACACGACCCATGAATGGAGGCCTTAGTCCTCGATGCGGGCGACCCGGGTTTCAATCTGACCCGTGATCCTTTCCTGCATGTCTCTCTCTCATTACCCCTTTTCTATCAGCCTACTATCCATTAAAAAAATGAGCCACTAGTACCTTAAAAAGCCCAGATCTTGATCTTATTGGGATGCTATTAGGTGACTTTAAGTCGGCTTTTCAGCTTTTCGGCTTTTAAATGTCCCATCACTGAAAGTGAAGAGCGGGAGAAACTTTCTATATTCATGTTAACTGAGGATTTTCAGCTAAAGGGGATAACAGTGGTTTTTAGGGGGGAAATTGTTTTTACACACTTTTGTTCATAAATTATCTTTAATGAGAGAAACAAGTTTACCATTGGTGTTAAAGAGAAATTAAGTGACCTTTTTCTCTCTATTCCTCTATATTTACAAATACAAACACATGATCCACACATGCTCAGGATGCACACATGCATTCATATATCTGTGTATGAATCAGAAATACATTCGTTCATCTTGTCCTGTGCATGTGTGGATCTTGATGGTTAAAATATCACTTAACATTTCTCATTAAAATCCAAACATATTTATTAGACTATCCTTATCTTATCACAGTGCATGATTTCATGATTAAAAAGTATAACTTCTCTGATGTCTATGAAAAGGTGCGGACCTGTACTGACAGGACCAAATTCAAACCATCATGAGGTAATCATCACTTCTGTGGGCCGAGGGGCTCTGAGCCTCACTTCAGCCACAGCTGGCACACGTTCATCCTGCTTTGAAATGTACCATTACATCATGGCTGACATTTTCTCATTAGTCAGGATTTTTAGGGTTTCTAAAGATCCTGAGTTGGACTTTAAATATATTCATGTTTGATCCTTTACAGAGAGATAAAGATGGATTTTATTAACTGCAGTTTTTTTTGTTCTGATGGCTAACATCCCTAAAGTTTGGCTCTGCAGTGTAAAGTTATCTGATTGTTTTGGAGCTTGTGGGAGGTCGGTGGGAGATTGTTAATGTTCTGGATCTGAGCCAAGCATGCCAGTGACCTTTTCCTGCACGAGATTCAAGCAAACAGGATGTGAACAAAGCTCAGTGGGTTCACTGTCACTGTTCTCATACCCACACTCACTGATAACGTGTGTTCAATGTTCACCACTTTGGTGAACAAGCAAGTTAAAAATAACCAAAATTCCTTCAAAATAGTAAGCAGGCATGACTTTCACCACTCCAGCCACTACTATATACATCCCCTATTTACATTTTGTGTGAAACGACTTGCATACCTCAAAATAAAAACCATTGGAAAAAGTTCCTTGAGTTTTCTAGTTTAGTAAGAGTTTGTGTAAACAAACAGCATTTTGAAGACCTAAGAACCTAACAGACAAGAAAGAGGGGACGCTTTGAAGCTTTAAACACATCTGAAATTTGAAGAAAATTATGAACCAACCGAAAGCCTTAAAAAAAAAGACAGAGTCAACCACCTAAAGTGACAGGTTGGGCAAACTGAGCAATAATCAGAGAAGCAGGAAACAAGCTAATGATTATTTAC